AGAGCTCCACACAAGCCCCCAGTGGGACCGTCCGCATGCGTCCCCGAAACATACTTTGGCGTTTGCACACACCGAATACAACGTTTCGTGGCCCCACACGGAGCTCCACCGAAACCCCTAATGGAACCGTCCGCATGCGCCCCCGAAACCCAATTTGGCATGCCCACCCACCCAGCACAGCGCTTCATGGCCCAATAGGGAGCTCCACCGAGGCCCCCAGTGGGACCCTCCACATGCGCCCCCGAAACCTAATCTGGCATTTTCGCCCACCCAATACAGTGCTGCCGCCCGCATGCGTTCCCCCCCACCCAGTGCATCGCTTCGTGGCCCCACAGGGGCTTCACCGAAGAAGATATTCACAATTGCGATGCCCACAACTGCATATGGTTGGGTCCTTCGCCCGGATATTTGCTTGTATTCCGATGGCCGCCTCGAACCAAACTACAAGCGCTGGCCTCGTAAAAAAACGTGTTCCTGTCTGAGAGTTCTGCGTGGGCGTATGAGCGCGCAAGTGCGCGAGTGTGCGTTGGGATACTGGCGATGACCTGCCTGTACACACGTGTGTATATATATATATACATATATATATACATATATATATATATATATATATATATATATATATACGGAGAGAGAGAGAGAGAGAGAGAGACAAAACAGTATCCTGACGAAGGACCCAACCATACGCAAGTGTGAAAACCGCAGGACAGGGGGGACGAAGCAAGGGGAATTCCTCATGGGGCCACGAACCGTGTGAGGGGTGCACCAAACTGGCGCGGGGCCGCCATGCGAACCCTGCCACTGGGGCCTTCGGTGGAGCTCCTCATGGGGCCACGAACCGCGCGAGGGGTGCGCACAAACTGGCGCGGGGCCGCCGTGGGAACCCTGCCACTGGGGCCTTCGGTGGAGCTCCCTCTGGGGCCACGAACCGCGTGAGGGGTGCACCAAAATGGTGCGGGGCCGCCATGCGAACCCTGCCACTGTGGCCTTCGGTGGAGTTCCCTATGGGGCCACGAGCCGTGCGAGGGGTGCGCCAAAATGGCGCGGGGCCGCCATGCGAACCCTGCCAGTGGGGCCTTCGGTGGAGCTCCTCATGGGGCCACGAACCGCGTGAGGGGTGCGCACAAAATGGCGCGGGGCCGCCGTGCGAACCCTGCCACTGGGGCCTTCGGTGGAGCTTCCTATGGGGCCACGAACCGTGTGAGGGGTGCACCAAAATGGTGCGGGGCCGCCATGCGAACCCTGCCACTGGGGCCTTCGGTTGAACTCCCTATGGGGCCACGAACCGTGTGAGGGGTGCACCAAAATGGTGCGGGGCCGCCATGCGAACCCTGCCACTGGGGCGTTCGGTGGAAGTCCCGATGGGGCCACGAAACGTGTGAGGGGTGCGCCAAAATGGTGCGGAGCCGCCATGCGAACCCTGCCACGGGGGCCTCCGGTGGAGCCCCCTATGGGGCCACGAACCGTGTGAGGGGTGCACCAAAATGGCGCGGGGCCGCCATGCAAACCCTGCCTCTGAAGCCTTCGGTGGAGCCCCCTATGGGGCCACGAACCGTGCGAGGGGTGCGCCAAAATGGCGCGGGGCCGCCATGCGAACCCTGCCACTGGGGCCTTCGGTGGAGCTCCCTATGGGGCCACGAACCGTGTGAGGGAGTGAGGGGTGCACCAAACTTGCGCGGGGCCGCCATGCGAACCCTGCCAGTGGGGCCTTCGGTGGAACTTCTTATGGGGCCACGAACCGTGTGAGGGGTGCGCCAAAATGGTGCGGGGCCGCCATGCGAACCCTGCCACGGGGGCCTCCGGTGGAGCTCCCTATGGGGCCACGAACCGTGTGAGGGGTGCACCAAACTGGCGGGGCCGCCACGCGAACCCTGCCTCTGGGGCCTTTCGGTGGAGCCCCCTATGGGGCCAACAACCGTGCGAGGGGTGCGCCAAAATGGCGCGGGGCCGCCATGCGAACCATGCCACTGGGGCCTTTCGGTGGAGCTCCCTATGGGGCCACGAACCGTGTGAGGGGTGCACCAAAATGGCGCGGGGCCGCCATGCGAACCCTGCCACTGTGGCCTTCGGTGGAGTTCCCTATGGGGCCACGAGCCGTGCGAGGGGTGCGCCAAAATGGTGCGGGGCCGCCATGCGAACCCTGCCACTGGGGCCTTTCGGTGGAGCTCCCTATGGGGCTACGAACCGTGTGAGGGGAGCGCCAAAACGCGGGGCCGCCATGCGAACCCTGCCACTGGGGCCTTCTGTGGAGCTCCCTATGGGGCCACGAAACGCTGTACTGGGTGGGTGAAACGCAGGGAGGAGGGAGGGGGAGGAGGAGGGGGCAGCGGGAGGAGACGCGGGGCACCGTCTCTTCAAAACGAGGACCCAACACCACAGGATGGTTGGGAAAAAGATAGAGAACGATAGAAAGAGAGATGCTAGAACCACGCGCGCGTTTTGCGCGCAGGTTCTGGCACGCTCTAGTTGTAGTCTACAGTGTGTGTGTGTGTGTGTGTGTGGCATCGGGGGACATGTATACTGTCACACGGATCGTACCCCTCAGGAAGCTCCGCCTGCGGCCCCGGGCAGAAACTTGACTCAGCGTCCCCCCGCCCGTGCCTGCATACCCCTCACAGGGATCGCTCCCCGCTGGCACGGCCCTCGCGCTGATCGTGCCTTTATGGCACCCGAGGGGAGCTGCACAGCGTCGCCCAGCTCACTTCGGCACACCCCTCGCACGGATCGTGGCAAGTAGATCCACGGGCGGCACCAGCGACGAGGCTCGCATCCCGCTCCCCCCCCTCCCGCCTACTTCGACGCACCTCTCACACGGATCGTGGCCCACAGGGATCTCCACCTACGGCCACAGAGGCGGGGTTCGCACTGCGCCCCTCCCTGGCCGTTGCGGCACACCCCATCACGCGGATCGTGCCCGCAAGGAGCACCAACTAAAGGCCAAAAGACAAAGATCGTATAGCGCCCACCCGCCCATGTCAGCACACCCGTCACGCAAAACCATGCCTCAGAAGAAGCTCCACCTATGGAACCATCGGGCAGCTTTGCATGGCGTTCCCCCGCCAATTCGGAACATGCCTCACAAGGGTCGTGCCGAGAAGTGGTCCACCTGCGGCCTCAGTGGGCGTGTTCGTGTGCATGTGCATGTGTGTAAGTATATGTGCACGTGTGTACTGACGTATGCGTGTATGGATGTGTCTTTGTGTGTATGTGTGTATGTGTATGGAGGTGTGCATGTATGCATGCATGTCTGTCCAAATGTGCGCGTTTGTCTGTATGTATGTATGTGTAGGTATGGTGATGTGTATATACGTACGTACGTACGGACGTATATATGTACACGTGTTAGTGTGTGTATGCATGTAAGCGTGTGTATGTCTGGCTGTATGTGTATGTATGCATGTCTGTATGTATATATGTATGTCTGCATGTATGTGTGCATGTATGTGTGTATGTATGTATGTATGTATGTGTGTATGTATGTACGTACGCATGTATTTATGTATGTATGTGTGTATGTAAATAGATGTTTGTATATGTATGCATGTATACGCATACATGCCATGTGCATATAATATGCGGGCCGCCTGCGGACTCCGCCAGACACTGGCGTCCCTGTCTGTCCCGTACCCTGCATTCTCTCTCTCTCTCGCTCTTTCCGATGCGAGTCGGGAAGAGAACTTGGAAATACCTGAAGGGTTGTACAGAACCCGCTTCTCCTCCTTCCTCCTCCTCTTCCTCCTCCTCCATCGTCCTCATCACCACGAACATTCACTGGGTGGTGAGATCCGGTCACAACTCCATTGTAGTAGTAACCCACAAACGGCTTGAACTTGAAATGCGGTGGTGGGCATTGGACAAGGAGCCCTTAGATAAGGAGCCCAGGGTCTGGAATCTGGTGGAACTCGAATCGTGGATCGGCAATGGATATCATCGCTGCCCTCATAAGATGAGGGCCCCTCCAGGGTCTAAAGCCTACTGGGCACATGTCTTAACGAACGCCCCCACCGTAAGGGTACGAATCACGCGGATTGAGCCGAGACCTACAGCCCAAAAGGAAGGCAGGTTCACAAAGCGCCCCCCCCGCCGATGTCGGCACGGCCCTCACACGGATCGTACCCCCTTGGGCTCGACGTTTGGATCCAGGGACAAAATTAGTGTGGCGTCTTTCTCCCCTTTTCGGCTCACCCTTTACACGCATCGTGCCCCAGAGGGATGTAGTTTCAAGTGCGGCCCTAGTGGGAGGAGTCGCATACCGTCACGCCCCCTGTGTATGTTGACTGTCTTCTCACACGGATCGCACTCCACACAGAGTTCCACCGACAACCACAGAGTCAAGGTTCGCATCCCGCCGCCCCGCCCATGGCGGCACACCCCTGATCTGGATCGTGAGGTCGGGGCGTCTTGGGTGCCTCTCGGAGCCTCGCAGCATGTTTCTGAGGGGCCTCTTGAAACCCTGAGATGAATCGCCGTGCAGTATGTAGACGCGAGACGTCTCATACGCTTCTGAGGGGCCTGTCGGGAAGCCTCCTGGGAGGCTCCTGAAAGCATTTTGGGGGCCTCTTGGGGCCTCTTGGGGGGTTCTAGGGGGTGTTTTGGGGGATCCGGGGTGCGCTTTCGGGGTCTCTCGGGAGCCTCTGGGGCCTCTTGGAAGTGTCTTCGAGACTTCCCGGGTATTGTGGGCATGTTGGGAGCCGCATCCCCCAAGATAGTGCCCAAGGACACTCTTGGGCACCCTCTTGAAGCCCTCGTGAGGGGACGGTCTTGGGGCCCTCTTGGGCCGTGTTTGGGGCCTTGGAAGCAGTCTTGGAGCCTCCTTAGGCGCCTCTTGGACCGTCTCAGAGGCTGTCAAGACTGGAAAAGCGAGTATGTGTTTTCAGCAAGGAATGGGCTGCTCGTTGCCTCCTCTTGGGGGCCTCTTCGGGGCCTCGTGGCACGTCTTCATACCATCAGGGGGCGTCTCGGGTGGCGCCAGAGCGCTTCAGACGCAATGTTGGACGGATGCTTGTTTCTCTCGGGCGCCCTCTGACCGTAAGGCCTTCGCAATTAATCGATCACGGGTGCGTGCAGCGATGCGGGGGTCTCCCGCGCTCGCACCCCTGAGTGCGGCAATCGATGGGAACGGAAACGCTTGCGCAATCCACCGAGGATGGTCTGCACTCGGTGCCAACGCACGCTTTCGCCCGTGTGGGCAGTCACGGCTTCAAATCGTATGAGGCTGGAACCCCATTGGTACCAAGCAGTAGTACCTGCTCGCGCTATATGCCCTCAGCTATGAGGCGCACCAACTTGTCCATGACGTCCTTCGACAAACCTATCACGACACATAGTGCTTGGATTACAAGATTATTCAGTTCTCTCTTGAGGTTTGCCATTGTGTCCTCGAAACCGATTGATGAGTCGGACGCCTGCTTCGCAACATATGCCGTCATTGCGTTGGCGCTCGAATGCACAGCTGCAACAGTAGAGCCAATTGCAAATGCACCCACTACCAAGTCCATCAATAAGAACAGGAGGCCTAGAATTACAATCACGGCAGCGATATTGTATGCAATCCAGCCTGTCGAGAGTTTCAGATTCGCAAGGATCTGTGCTGGGAAAAAGTCGAGCGTGAGGAACGCGATCATGGGGATAAACTCCTCTGCCTGCACTATGCCGTCCACGTGCACGTCCATCATGGCGAAGTACTTGTGCAGCTCCTAGAATTCAATCAAAAAATGAGCATAAACTTTTGGCGCTCCGAGCGGGTTTCTAAATCTGCGCTGAAACCCCTTCCCTGGCGCGCGGAGCGCGCCAGAGGCGGCGCCGGAGGCGCCGCTGGGGGGGCCAGAGGAAGAGTCCGAACCGAACTGGTAACCGTGAACCGGCGGCTCCTGCAACCGAACCGCCCGAACCGGAGCCCGAACCGGCCCGGCTGAAACCGGACCGGGCGGTTCGAACCGAACCGGCCGGTCGAAACCGGCCCGAACGGCAAGCCCGAACCGGGTGGAACCGAACCGGGCCCCGGGACTCCCCACCGGCCCAAGAAAGCCCCCAGAAGAGCCCTGGTGCCGGCACCCCCGGCACTCCCCATCGGCCCA